GAGAAGGGCAGATCACCAATTGAGCACGACCTCACGCAAAATGACAGTGCATAATATTTGTGTCTATCAAGTCAGGTCGGCAGACTACAGTAGATAAGGTGATGCACCGAATGAGAAAGGCGCCCTTGATGAAAATCACCCAAAGCGATAGTGTGAAAAGTAAAGATCACTCAATTGCATGGAGCACAATCTAAAACAAAGTGGACCATGGCCTACCTGAAAGCCGAACTGCAATCTCGAATCATCCACAAGTTTCCCGCCTCATCTCTATGTCCTCTGAATTCCATGATACTATCAACATCATAAAGTACGCGTTACTACAAGAACAATGATACCAATATTGGTATAGTGTAACTCAGGCTTAAATTGGGTAAAACATAGGCATGTTGAACTTGTTAATGAAATTACAAAATTAAACCTTTTACTAGGACCCTAATATCACAAGTAACTTGTGCCCAAAAGGTGAGCACAATCCACTCAAAAACCCAAACAAAATAGTCCCACAAGTGCAGAAGTCAAGAATCACCATTAAAGGGAAAAGAAAGGTTTAGGGGACAAGATTTACCTTATTTAAGATCCCTCCCCAACTCAATCCCAATGACCTGAATGTGAATCTCCGATAATTCCCAACAATATGCACTAAAAATGAGCTCAAACGAAGCTCTATAGAACAAGAGATTGAATTCAGAATGTTGGACAATGAACTAATTTCGGGATTTAACTTCCAATGATGGCACCTGATATGGTGCCCATACTACTAAAATGGCAGGCCTACACTAGAAGCCTACTAAAGCAGATCCCTGATCACTTAAGTGGCCACCGCCTAAGCTAATCCATATCCACTAAAGCGATAAACCCTTAGCTGGCAGGCCTCGCTTAAGTGACACATTTTCCGCTAAAGCGGCTACAGCTTAAGCGGTGCCAGAGCTGCATGAGCAATTGCCCCAACATAGTGCTCTAGCTAAATTAATTAAGTTCTAATAAACTCTACTTTGGTGATCGGGATTGGTTTGAAAACTAGTGCATGAAAATAAAATATGCCACCCCCACGAAAATTGAACAATGAACTAATTTTGAGATTTAACTACCAATGATGGCAACTGATGCAGCGCCCCTACCACTAAAGAGGCAAGGCTCACACTAGAAGCTTGTTAAGACGGATCCCTGACCGCTTAAGTGGCCACCGCCTAAGCTAATCCACGTCCTCTAAAGCGACAAACCCTTAGTTGGCTGGCCTCACTTAAGTGGCACCTTTTTCGTTAAAGCTACTACAGCTTAAGCGGTGCCAAAGCCGCATGAGCAACTGCACCAACATAGTGCTCCATCTGAATGAGCTAAGTTCCAATAAACTCTACTTGGGTGCTCGGGATTGGTTTGAAAAATAGTGCATGAAAATAAAATATGCCACCACTACTAAAATTGATATTCTGGACTCAATGGAAATGTCAAAACTTCCAAAGAAGGTCGTCTCAACAAAAAGTGAGTCCCACAACTTAGCTCATTTTTAAGCAAAAATCTACAAGATAGCTCAAAATAAGCCTGGAAGCCTCACAGCCCACACCAAAAGTCCTTTCAGACTAAACTTGACATTCTAGATCTAATAGAACCATCAGAATCGCATTACAAGGTCGTTCACATAAAATTTTGATTGGAGTCAATCGTTCAAACTTTAAAAGATACAAAATAGGAAACTTACACCACAAGATTAAACTGAACTGTCTGATGATTGGACCATTAGTCTCAACAAGTCATAAATGACTTGGGGTCACTATAAAAAAGCTCTTAACGCTGAATACATTAGATAACGAAGGATATGACTTGAAAAGTCATTAAATATATGCTAATAAATAAGGGATTGCAATTTAAACGAGTATACCTAAGTTTACAAATAGTCTTATAATAGAAAACAGACTGGATTGACTATATTGAATGAATTTCCACCATTATAGACCTTTGAAGGTCTATAATCATCATGACGTGGTACATTCAGATTCTAGTGTCTTAATTTAAGAGTATATATAATTGAATAATATACTATAATTAATGGCCCTTAAAATAAGTCTTATTGCAATTTGTTTGTCTCATCAACATTTGATTCCTCAAACACATGTCTCTTAAAGTTGTGATATGTGTTTGATTTGTAAATACAATCATCTCATTGAAACAAAATTAATTAACAATGGTCACCAGGAACCAAAAACCCAAAAGCTCTAAGCTTTTCAAGGGAGATTACAAAGGAAGAAGAATCTTCAATGTGGCTATTATGGACCTTCCAAATGTGATTATGGTAGAAATTTTATCATGATCGTCAATCAAATCCGTTTTTCGATGTAAGACTGTTTGGAAACTTTCGTATCATCTTTTAACTTCCTACCCTTTATTTGTTAACATGTATCACACAACATCACCTAATTTTCCCTAATTATGGTTTCGAATAGTCATTCCAACCCTTGGCTTCTAGAACTCAAAGAAAATTATGATTATTATTCTTTCTCAAGTAACAGAGTTATTGAGTTGAGGACTAATTAGCACCTCCCTACGATGGAATCGGACAATGTATTTAATTGTTTCACACAATGGGTTCGTTTGTTTGTTGAATAGTCATTTAGTAGCTTACATAAACAATCCTCTTTTGGGTGAGTATTTCATAAGTACATCTCCATTTACATTATCTATAGGTTCACTCCAACGGCTAGCTAACAGCTAGTTAGACTTTCATTAATTACTAAATATTAAGTAGGTGTAAGACATAATATTAGAAAAAAAAAACTAACATTATCTAACGGCTAGTTAGACTTCAATAATTACTTTTAATTAATGACTCTGCCTAGTTACTTGTGGAAATTAGAGTAACCCCTATAGTCATTTTAGCTTGAAATAAATTTCCACAATCTTGGAGCACACTATATATGAAAGTCCATCCATTCCATAAGACCAAAACCCCAAAAACTAGCTAGCTTCCTTTTGATCAAACTAACTAACAGCCATAGACGCCAAAAGCTTTGAGATTTTCATGGGACATTGCAAAGGATAATGTATATCTCATGTCACAAGGATTATAGACCTTCCAATGTTGATTATGGTCGAAATTCTTTCATGATTGTCAATCAAGTCCATTTTATATTTTAAGATTGTTTGTAACTTTGGTATCATCTTTTAACTTCTGATCCGTTGTTTGTTAACATGTATCACATGTTAAAAAATAAATGGTCGGAAGTTAAAAAAAAATTACCAGATTTTAGAGACAGTTTTACAACATAAAATAGACTTGATTGCCAATCTTGAAAGAATTTCGATCATAATCACCATTGGAAGGTCCATAATACTCGTGACATGAGAGATGTTTTATCCTTTCCAATGTCCTTGAAAATCTCAAAGCTTTTGGCGTCCATGGTTGTCAGTTAGTTTGAACAAAAAGGAAGCTAGCTAGTTTTTGGGGTTTTGGTCTTACGGAATGGATGGACTTTTATATATAGTGTCCTCTATCGTGATGTGTACATTCAGATTCGACGCTTAATCCAGGAGAGAGTGATATATATAACGTTAATTGAATAAGGGATGATACTTAATAGCCCTTAAAATAAGTGGTTATTGTGATTTGTATACATCCGAATCAACATCTAATTCCTCAAACACATGTCTCTCCATGTTGTGATATGTGTTTCATTTATAAATAAACTCATCTCACTGAATCATTATTAATTAATCATGAACTCCATGAACCATTAATAAAAAAAAATCTCTAAGATTTTTGAGGGAGATTGTAAAGGAAGAAGAATCTCAGATATAACCATTATGGAACTTCCAAAATGTGATTATGACTAAAAAAATTATCATCAATCGAGCCAATTTTTTGATGTAAGACTCTTTGCAAGCTCTGGAATAATCTATTAACGTCCGACCCTTTATTTTCTAAGATGTATCACAATAAATCCCCTAATTTTCCCAACATCTTTCTTTTCAATGGACACCCGAACCCTTCGCTTCTGGAACTCAAACTAAATTATGATTATCATTTTTTCCCTAGTAGTAGACTCATCAATTTGATCCCTAAATTTTACATCTGTCCAATGGCATTGAACATGTCTTTAATCGTTTTGTGTAATAGGTTCATTTGTTTGTTGTGGTCATTGTGTTTACATCAATAATCCCTTTTTGGGTGAATATTGTTTGGACAAGTACTATAATATTGATATAGGACAAGAATTAAAAATAATATCTAAATTATCACAAATATTGTGTCCTGGCTAGACACTGCCTTGAAAGCAATTACACCCAGTCTCCGATGCAAATAGTTAAGGCCGGTCAATCCCCAAGGTTCCACAACTCTTTCAAATACATGCACTTATGGTTAGAATTTTGGATTTGCACAATACAATTGTCGAGAGTATGACAATAGAAATGATCACTATTTGAGATAATAAGAGAATTGGTGAAACAGAGTGTTTCAATAGAAAAAAGGACTTGTTAGAGGAGGGAAAGTATTCAGGTTCTTTGATTGCATGATAGACCATCCAAACTTTCTTACTTTAGTTGAAGGAGCATGGAAAAGTGCTGGTACAGGGACTGCAATGATGAAACTGTGGCAGCAGTTGAAAAAAGTTCAAGTTGCTCTCAAAGAGTTGAACAAAAAAGAATATTGAAACTATGAGATCAAGATCCAAAGCTCCAGATCAGAGTTGGTCCAACTACAAGCAAAGATAAGACAACTTGGCTGTCCAGTATCTATATTTGATGAAGAAACAAGACTGAAACAACAACGGGAGACGTGGCATTTAGTGGAGGAAAGTATTTTGCGGCAAAAATCTAGGATCACCTGGCTGAAAACAGGAGATTTAAATTCAAAATACTTCTTTGCCTGCATGAAGAATAGAACAACCCAGAACATGATTTGAAGCTTGGTTACAGAGGATGGAACTATTGTGGACAGCAAATAGGAAGTGAAAAATGAGATGTTGGGTTCTTTAGTCGGAACCCTACCAAGTATTGATGAGACGATCATGCGAAGTGGACCTGTCCTCAGCAAACAACATCAGTTACCCCTCATTAGGCCTCTCACTAGAAAAGAAATACTAGATGTTGTGATGTCCATAGATGACCACAAGGCCCCAGGAATAGATGAATTCAATGTGTTGTTTTATAAAAAGACATGGGCTATCATTGGAGAGGATGTCATAGAGGCAGTACTTGAATTTTTTCAACAAAATACAATGCATCCGCTGGTTAATTATGCCACTGTCACTCTAATTCCAAAGGTCAAACATCCTTCCACAGTTAAAGAATTTCGCCTTATATCATGCTGCACAGTGGTATACAAAATCATATCGAAAGTACTCACATCAAGACTTCAACCAGTGATGGAAATGTTAATTGATCCCACACAAGTTGCATTTGTGCCCGGAAGACTTATATCTGACAATATAGTGTTGAGTCATGAGATAGTGAAGGGTTATGGGAGGAAAAATGTATCGCCATGATGTATGTTGAAAGTCCACATGATGAAGGCATACGATTCGATAGAGTGGGATTTTATGAAGCAAGTCCTTGTAAGTCTTGATTTTCCTGAAGTCTTCATAGGATGGATCATGTATTGTATGACCTCTGTGGCCTACACAATCTTAATAAATAAACAGCCAACTGAACCATTTTCTGCCAAGAAAAGACTAAGGCAAGGTGACCCAATATCACCTTACCTATTTGTTCTAGCAATGGAATATTTATGTCGTCTTATGAAGCAGTTGAAGCAAGATAAGCTCTATAAGTATCATCCAAGGTGTGGACAGCTACAAATAGTGCAACTTGGCTTCACAGATGATCTCCTCTTATTTAGCAGGAGAGACCTGGCCTCAGTTCAAAGATTATTTTCCAAACTACAACAGTTTTCAAGTGCGTCTGGGTTGCAAGCAAATTTACAAAAACCATCCATCTATTTTGGAGGGGTGAAGCCAGAAATACAAAAGCAAATCCTAGAGCTCCTTGGTATGGAAAAAAGAGAGTTGCCATTTAGGTACTTAGGGGTGCCACTAAGTACTAAAAGGATATCCTTGGTCCAAAGTCAACCACTATTAGAACGAGTGTTGAGCAAAGTGACATCCTGGACAACAAAGTTGCTTTCGTATGCAGGTAGAGTACAACTGTTGAAGAGTGTTCTGCTAACTGTACAAATATACTGGTCCCAAATTTTTCAATTGCCAAAGAAAGTGGTGGAACAAATAGAGAGGATTTGCCGAACATTTTTGTGGACAGGATCCATGAATTTATCCAAGAAAGCGTTAATAGCTTGGGATAGAATGTGTATGCCCATGAGTGCCGGAGGATTGAATCTTCTAAATATAGGTATGTGGAATAAATCTACATTATGTAAGTTGTTATGGAACCTGTGTAACAAAAAAGATAAATTGTGGGTTCGATGGGTTCATGTTGGCTACATGGTTTATGGGGGCTGTGAGTTATATGAACTCTCCCCCATATCGGTGCTCAATACTACTCCCAAAATATAACTAGCTCATATGTTTAAAAGCATAACTCTTTCTCTAGTTTGAGATTATTACTCAAAAAAATTTCTCTTAAAAGAGAGGGTACTCAAAGCTGCTCAAAAACTCTTTTGGAAATCTCAGTTTCCTCATATTTTAAATATGAAAACATTTAATCTTGGTAATACTTAGTTCCCATATATTCATTTTGGAAAAAGAACTCAACTCAGCTCTTTCCCAAACTCAGCTGCTCAAGTCTTAAAACAAGTTTAGAAAATTTGCAAAAGACTTCTCAAAATAGGGTTCATGCCGAATTATGGACGCGAACGACTCAATTCGAGGTTTTCAATAACCATACATAAAACTCAATACTCGAAACTCAACTAATCATAACGCAAGAACTTCAGTTAGACTACTCATTTCAAGAATGCTTAAGTTAGAGGGTTCATGCGGAATTATGGACATGAACAACTCAACTCAAGGAGTTCATGTGTAACATTTAATAGTTCCATGATTAGGAATATAATCTCAAAAGGGTTAGGAGCTCAATACTCAAGACTTAGATCTTGAAGATACTACTCCTTTCAAAGATACTCAAGTTGTTCATGAGGAATTTATGGACATGAACGATTTGACTCAAGGGTCTACCTAACAATATAGAACTCATGTATATGAGTCTTCTCATTCTCATACTTACTTCCTCAAAACTTAGCTCAAATCAATAGTTAATCTCAAAGGATTCACAATTGAACTCAAAGACTTTCTTGAACTCTACTCATAAATTTGAATTATGGATTCAAGAGTTATGATTCATGATAAGAAGGATCTAGTGATAATAATGTAGACTCATGAATACATTCTCATATTCACTTGCTTGAGTCTTGAAAGAAGTCATTTAAAATTGTAGAAGACTCCTCAAAAAGACTCGAAGAGACTTTCTCATAATGTTCGAAAAAACTCTCAAGACTTAACTCTTTAACTCTACCTTGAATTTGAATTATGAATTCAAGGTTATCATTCATGTTATGAATGATTTTTAGGTGTTTAGAAGTAGTTTAGAGTAGTTATAATCAAAAGAGAGTTAAGGTACTCTTTAAAGGGACTCAAACGACACAATCGATGGAAAATGAGTGGGGCAGACGACCCTGGCGCATTGCGGGAGCCAGCCTCTAAACTTTAGAGGCACTATCTTGGCATGCCACGCCAGCCCTGCTGGCACATCTGTGGCGCGTCGCGCCACCATTCCCCCAGACAATTTCGATGAATTTTTCTTTTCATTTTCTGACCTTAATTCAACTAGAATCAAATGATTTCTTCCCTAATCACTTAGAATCGAATAGTCAACGTATGTACACACTAATCCACTCAAAACAACCCTCAAATCACTAAGTTTCATCTCAAGAATTCATCAAAAACCCAACATAACAAGATTTAGAATGAATTTCAAGAACACTTATCAAGAACTCAATATATACAAACTTATGTATGAAATTCGAAAAAGGAACTCATGTTTGACGTGTGGGTGAACGAACCCAACACTATGACAACTTACATACCTCAAACTGAATATTGAGATAAATGTACCTAATTTTTTCCTATTCTGATATAATATTGTTGAGTTGCAGTTATGAAGGCAATTGGACAAGACATGGATTTATGTTGGAAACAATGAACAAAAATGCAAAAAGAAATGCAAACTATACATTGTTGATCGCTTAATGAGAAGGGCAGATCACCAATTGAGAACGACCTCACTCAAAATAACAGTGCATAACATTTGTTTCTATCAAGTCAGGTCAGCAGACTTCACTAAAGAAGGCGATGCTCCGTATGAGAAAGGTGGTCTTGATGAACATCGCCCAAATCGATAGTGTGAAAAGTAAAGATTGCATGCTCGAAAGGCGAACCAAGGTGGTACTCAGTGATTCACCAAACGTGAAAGGCTAACTCAATCAGGTTCGCCAACTAAGGTTCAAACACTTGAAGTTTAGAGTATCAAAAGGTGAGCTGAGGAAAGAGAGGTGATTCACCGAACGAGTTCGGTGAGCTCGACTAATGTTATCGAGTTAGTCGCATGATGGATTTTGGGCCAAATTTTGGGAAAGTATAAATAGGCCAAAGGGGAGAGAAATGATATACAATTTTCTAGAATAGAAAAATACGAAAATAGAGTGTGTGAAGAGTAGAGAGAGAAACACTTCACCTTTGAAGAACATTTTTCTAGCTTTTGGGGTTTTACAACTTGGTGTTTGAATTTGATAAATTGAAGTTGAATCCAAAGTGGATTTACTTGCAATTGCTTGATTTTAAGTTACCCATAGTTGCTTTCATGGAAGGTATAATCTCTTTACTTTCTGTGATGGGTGGCTAAAACTCCAAGATTTAGGGGTGCAAATATGGGGTTGAGTGTTGATTTAATGTAGTGGGTATTATGATATGCTATGTTTTGTTGTTGTTCATACATGAATTTGGTCTAATTATCATAGGGTTAACTTATGGGTTAAGGTTGTAAACTTAATTCCTACTTCCGATCTCCGCTTGATGCTCGAAAGAGATTGAATGAAGTGGGTAATTAGTCTGATACTAGCAATTTAGGTTTGATGTCAGAAACTTGCTTGAAAACAGAGGTTATGGGTCAGATTTATCTGCCCTATTCCTGAAAGAGAGAATAGAGTAGGTATTGAGTTGTTTAGGTTGGCATTTAGATGAGACCGACATGAGATTCTATGCATAGATGCTTTGTTATCGAAAAATGATTAGCGTCAATGAAGATTACTTAGCCTATTCATGAATGTTCATCACTATAGAGCAACACAAACACTTATGTGACATCAATTTTCAATCCCCACACCCCTAGATTGTTTGTTAACTCTTGATTCTTCGATACTTTAGTTTAATTACGATAATTGATAACCAAAGCTTTATATGAATTATCCACCCACTTGTTCTTACTATTGCAAATGAGTGAATTTAAAGTCCAAATTTCTTAATAGGAATTTTGCAGGATATACCATTCTCTGTGGGATTTGACCCAGACTCTTCGTTGGATTTTTTATTGACTACGACCGTTGTCCCTTTTAATTAGTTTTAATGAGGATATTTGAGCGTTATCAAGAGCATATGGTGGAATTGTAGTCTTTATAGTTAATTCTTTGTTTGGTGAGGATATTGTCATCTTGCTAGTTTTTCACAAAGGTTTAGGACGGAAGTCAGTTGTGCAATTGTGCTTATGCTTCTTCCATGCTCATGGCTTCTGTTGTGCATTTGTTCAACTAATCTCACAAACCAAACACCGAACTGAAATAAACCAAACCAAAATTTTTGAAACTGAACCGAACTAAATTTATTCTAGTTTGGATTAAAATTTACCAAACTGAAACCCAAAAAATCAAATTGAACAAACCGAACACCCTGCCCTACATAAAAAGATTTGTTTAACCACAAATGGTATTCACCATATTACCTCAATCGGTGGCATTAGTCACATCCACCTCGACGTTTCAAGGGTAACTTTCCTTGCCAACCCCTTGATTAAAGGATCCGCCAAATTTCTATCGAGCCTTACATATTCCAAGGAAATAACACTCTGTTCTAATAACTATTTAATTGTACCATGTGTGATGAACATGTCTTTTTTCCATTGTACACATTATTTTTGGCAATCCCAATTGTTGCATGTGAGTTATAATGACGAGAGACTAATAAAACTTGTCTTCCACATTATTGTACATCTACCACAAGATTTCTCAGCCATTCAGCTTCTTGCCCTCCAACTTAGGAGCAATGAATTTAGATTTCATGGTAGAATATGTTATAAAAGTTTGGTTAGAATACTTCCATGAAATAGCACCTGCCCCCAAAGTAAACACATAGTCATTGGTGAAGCCAACTTAATCATTATCAGTTAGTTTGCATCACAAAACCCTTATAAAACAGTAGGTAAATTATTAAAATTCATATACCAATCCATAGTACATCTCAAATACATTATTCCAGTGCTCATTACTAGAATTATGAGTATATCTACTCAATCTGCTAATACCATAAGCTATATTAGGCCGAGTATAGTTCATGATAAATATTCTACTGCCAATTATTTTAGCATATTCAATTTGAGAAACACTAGATTCTTTATTCTTTCTCAGGTGTATGTTAGGATCATCAAGAGTTCTAACCAGAACTACATCAAAATAAGCAAAAAATTTCAACATATTTTCAATATAATGAGACTATACAAACAAAACCTATTAATAGTTCTTTTAATTTATATCCCCAAAATCACACCTGTAACACCCCGTATCCTAGAAAAACCAAAAATGCAGATTTCAGAAGTTGCAGGTTTAACCCACGGTTGCCACCCATGGACCGTAGGGTGACCCAGGCCTGTGCTGGTGGTTCGTGGATGGCCACCTGCGACCCTTCCCGAGAAACTCCCAGAAATTTTTCAAAGTGTCGGTCCACGGCCGGACCTACAGACCGTAGGTCGGGCCACAGACCATGGTCCATGTCCGTGGATCAGACCCCCAACTACAGCCTCCCAGTCGCCAAACGACGATTGACCAGCACGGACCATCAGCCCAACCACGGTCCGTCGGTGACCCCGATAACTATTAAGTTAGGGGTCTTTTGGTCTTTTCCTTATGTGTTGGACCCCTTAACTACGTCATTTAACCCCTAAACTACATAGTATTGGTCAATTTAAGCCTATCGACTTAATTAGAATCTATCCTAAGCAAATTATTCACCAAAACTTAGAAAGATTAAAACGCAGAAGGAGAAAGAGTTGACCAAGCCCTAGTCCAAGAACACAGCGAGTCTTCATCAGTTTCAGTCCTAAAATGGAAAGATTTCTCCGTGGAATTCGTCACCAGGTATGTGGGATTTCACTGGTGGGTTCCTTTCACCCATTAGGTCCCTAGATTTTAGTGAGAATCTTGATTCCCTTAATATTATCTAGACCCAGGATTTCTTGAATTCTAGAAATTATTAGGTTTTAGCTGTTACAATGATCCAAATTAGATTATCATGTTATCACTCAGTTTTTTTGTATGATATTCAGAACCCTAGTTGTATATATTTATTTAGTTCATGAATTATACATGCTAGGTCAAATTATTCAGATATACACATGCTTCAGTTTACGAATGTCACATTATCAATCATAATTGTTACATTCTTAGAGTTTGCATGACAGTAATTGAGCTATACAGTACTTCAGCATTTCAGTCATAACATTGCTTATTTAAATTCTATTTGAGAGTAGCTTAATACCGAGTGGACTAGGGTCAGTCACCCTCAAGTCCCAAAACTACGTTCCCCGTAGGTTGTAAGTCCCTTCTGTGGGCATCATTATAGTGATCACGCCAGCATGCCTCTATACCTCTAGTCGGGTATATTGGGTCCTCTCGATAGGGCGTATACATCAGACTCCACATTTAGCTCATGTGGTTTTATGTCAATTATTAGTATCTTCCACAGTTCAGCCAGATTCAATTGCATTGGCCATTTTATCAGCTTTAGTTCACACTTCAATTTTAGTATGCTATAAACTTGGTCATTGCATTAAGTTATTTCATGTTCAATATTCTTAGTTTAGTATCATGTTAATCTCTTATCATTGCTCAAATATATGCTTTGATTCAGTTATGATTATTGTTCAGCTTTATTATATCATGCATGTTCAGTACCTTTCAAGTACTGATGCATATTCTACGCTACATTTCCTTGTGATGTAGGTTTAGGTCCTCAGCAGTCAGATCACGTATAGATCGATTCCCGATCTTCAGTTCAACAACATCAATGGCGAGTCCTCATTCCTCGAGAACAGTTGACATGTTATCTTCCTTTGTTTTTAGTCTTTAGTTTTCACTATTTGCTAGACTTAGCTGGAGCTTGTCCCAGCACTTCTAGTCAGTTAGAGGCTTATTTTAGACATAGTTAGATTCGGCTATAGTGTTAGAGTTTGACTTTTCATATTTATTCCACTCTCAGTTTCTTTTATTCAGATTTAGTAAATGGGTATTCCCCATCATTTCATATTATCTTATGATTTAGCTTCCGCACAGTATTTCTTTACTTCAGTTTATTTATTATGCTTATGATATGCCAGCAGAGTTAGTTTGGGGTCACTCGTGATCCAAGGTCCCGTGTCCGCGTCCAGGGGTTGCCTCGGGGTGTGACAACACCTGTTTTCAAGGTCTGTCATTTCAATCTTGGAAGACAAAAATATCTTAGTCTCATTCAAAACTTTAACATTGGGGCCAAGTATTAACATGTCATCTATATATAATCATATAATCACTCAATTTGAATTTATCATTTTGTAATAAACACATGTATCAGATGAATTTACAACAAAATCATTAACCATTGATATGACATTAAACTTTTCATACCACTACTAAGGCTTATTGTGACCAACGACACTGACCAACGGTATGAGTGTCTACGATCGTCGATAATATAGTAACACAACCAAGGGTTGGGGACGTGTCCCAAGGGAGCGGTTTTGAGAATTAATAACCAATTAGAATTTCATTCAAGTTAGTCATAGTTAAAGACATTTGCGATAAAAGACATTGTAAATTAAAGGGGCTGACACAAAAGTGTCAAATATCAAAGGGGGGTTTTGTAACAAGTATTAAAACAACAAAATAAACAAGAAAATCAAGT